TTTATTTATATATGTATATATGTAAATTCATGTTAACAGCTGAAAGTTTACATTTAAGTTACGTTGAACAGCAAAGCCCCAGAAGATTCTGTGAATGAAACCAGAGTCAACTGAGCTGGCTATATTTTTTAATTGATAAAATTTCATAAAGAAGTAATAGTAGTAGTAACTTGAAGTGATGATAGTTCATCATATGTATAAATGATGGGCCTATGGCATATTACAGAAACGACAAATCCAAGTTTTCTTAGCATTTATATGGAAATCAGTATTTCTACAGCATGAAATCATAAGCATTTTCACAGAAGAAAATTCCGTTCAGTATCACTATTTTAAATTTTGCACAAGTATCAAAATGTTGCTTTCTCCCTTCATCCACAGCCCTAGCTCTAAGAGAATGTTAATAAATGGATGAACTCAGCATCTACCCTACCATGATTTTTTTCCAAGTGCCTTCTGTTGTCACCATTCATAAGGAGCTAAAACATCCTTAGAAAAACAAATATACAAGAAACAAACCCTCCCTGTCTCTCTCATCTTACTCACTCATCTAATCTTACTGAAGACGGTTGTCCAAGTTTGCTTGTTTGTTTCCTTAGCCTGGACAACATGAAACACCATTTCAACCGCTACACAGAAAAGATATGAATGAAGGGGAGAGGACATGTTAAACACAATCACGCCCTCAGTCTAAATACTTAAGGCAGATAAGACCATGATAGAAATACAGAAGAAATATGGAAAATGTTTACTCCGTTATTCCAGTTCTTGCTGCGTATGCCAGGAGAGAAAGAGAAAGAAGAGAAACATTAGAAATAGAATATGAAATAAGGATTAAAAGAACATATAGAAGGAAGTAGCAAACATGCAAGTTCTGGTCTTAAAATGTTAATGTAGACAGTTATTTTACTCTAACTTTTTAGCAACAAAATAAGTATTTTAAGGTAAGTTTTAAGAATGTGAAGGCTGAAAAACAAATTAACTGGATTCCAATTATCTAGGACTTGAAAACAACTGTTACTCATCCTCCATATGCTAGCCACATCCAGATGTAGAAGCAGGCTAAATGTCCACACAATGTCTGTAGCTATGACATATTGCTATTAAGAACAACATAAGGAAATACCATAGGTCATATTTTGAGATTTCATGCAGTTTTTTCAACTGATGATATCACCAAAAAAAAAAAGGGAGGAATTTCAGTAGTTTTATTACATGCCAAACAATTCAAGCTCTATTCATTCTATTTTGAACTTACTTCGTTTGCAAAGCAGCCTCAGCTTTCTTATTAAGCAAAACGTTAGAACTGAGTATCAAAATGTTTTTCTTGCTTCCACATATTCAAATCTTAATCCCACTAATTCTTAATCCTACTACCTCCTTCCAGAGCATGAGATAAGCCATTACAGAACATAATGTGCAGAAGATCATTTAACAGCAATGCTGCAGTTTTCTTGTCACATTCAGCTTAAAACAAGCACTGGGTCTTCTCTACTATACAGGCTTGCCTTACAAAATAGGCTGGGGCAAATTTTTACTACAGATAACAACTGCCACAGATCCCTGGCAGCTTTTTTGTAACATAATCCATTATGAAACCCTGTAGGTACGTTAGAGAATTTTAACTGTATTTACAATGCAAGTCATACCTCAAATAAATCATAACCCTCAGCTTCTACCCTATCGTATGGCCGAATGATGCCATCTTCATGAATGAAACGTGGAGGACGAAGATTAGAGACTTCTTCAGTTGATTCTGCCACCCTGCCATAGACAGTAGAACAGGATTATGGTAAGCTTACTACAAGTCTGAGTTTCACCAATATATCTTCAAAAAGTCACCCTTTCACTTGCCACATATCCCACATACTATTTACATCTGTAGGGTATCCAGGAAGTGTAAGGCATACTGCTAGTAATAAATCCAAAGTAACATTAGCCAATTAGACAGCTGCAGAGTAACTTGGAGACGTTTCCTCCCAACCGTGGGTAATTTACTAAGGGTTCTCACGTTTATTAACACACTTTTCAAAGGTCCCCTTAAAACATAAGAACCCCCTCATGTGCACTGCTAACTGAATTTCAAACTGGCAAGTTTTTCTCTGAAAATTTCAATGGCTATTTTTTAGACTGAGTTTAATTATCATTTAGATATTTGCATTCAGCAGTACACAAACCTACCTCAAAAGTAAAATTTAGATGTGATCTTTTAATTACTTTCTGATCGGGGAGGGAGTCAAAGGAGAAAATGGACTAGTTATCTACCTGAACTACAACACTGCAACATGTATTCTGAAGCAGGAATTTCCAGAGATCATTGTAAAATACATTTATTACAGGGTACCAGACATCTCTTAACTCCATATATCCTACTGCATATTGTACTTAACACAAGTAATTGTGTGTCACTACCTGACCACTTTACCACCTGGTATTCAACATATGGAGAGTACTTCAAAACTTCCTCTTCACATTTTACCTTTGAATTCCCTGGAAGGTACTGCTTGCCATATCTACAATGCCACCTGTTGGGCGGGCTACCACTCCTACAAGCCCCTTTCCAATTCCTTTAAAGAATCCAGCTGCACCTTCTTTTTTAGCCCCTTTGAAAGAAAGGGAACAGAAAAAGAAATAGTTTTAATGACCTACATGAAGACATTAACCACAGAATTAAACCATTACTGCTCCAGGCTGCACTAGAACTGCTTTGTATTGGAAACAGCCCACAGCAATTGATTATGTACAATCCACTTACAAAAAAGTTCTCTGTGACAAGTCACACATTGCTTCCTTGTCTGTTCAGTCACGTTGCTGTTCACTTAATACCTTACCAGCCTCCAAAGCCAGCATAACTGAGATGTTAACTAGATTCTCCTTCTCACACTTTCAGTCTGGACTTTAGGCCAATGTATCAATTTTTATATATTGATAGTAATAATAAAATAATCTGAAGACTCTAAGATGCACAACTATAATGGAAGTTAACTATTTCTATCTCAAGATCTCATGTTGCTTCTGACACATAACTATGGAAGAGCCAAGACACTGTTTAGAGTATGTGTGTCCATCCACCAATGAGAGAAGGACTACACCTCAAACTATCTGCTTATTAAGATTTCTCTAACCTTTGGAGTCCCAAAAAACTTTTTCAATTGGTGCTTTTTAATTTATTATTTTTAGTATCTTTATTCTGGCTTTAAACAATAAATTGGATACTACAGCAGGCCTAACAAAATACATCACGAAGACAACTATTCCTCAATTCATACAAAGGCTGAAAAGGTGGTAAGCAAGTAAGAGCTATAAATATATTCGAGTAACTCATTGTATACGGTCACATTTGAATTAGAAATATTCTCTTGCTACACCTTCACATCACCACACTTAGATTGGTATTTCTTAAAATTACAAAATAAATTGCCAAGTATTGGGAAACCATTTAAACAGTGCAACCTTAGTGCTTACCTTCTACAGGTTTAGTGATTATGCCAGTCACACCTCCAACAACACCCTAAAATGAAGAAGATAATTAAGTACTTAGAAACAGGAATGTTATAGTCCAACTGGGCAACCAGTTGTCTCTCATCCTTCATTTTAAAACTTCATTATAAAGTTCAATATCAGAAACATTGTTTGGCTGGGTTTTTTTGGGGGGTGAGGGTTTTTTTTCTTTGTTTGGGGTTTTTTGGGGGGGAGGGCATTTGGTGGTTTTTCTGCTGTTGTTTTGGTTTGGTTTGGGTTTTTTTTTTTTACACTTTTATAACTGAGGGAAAGGAAACAGAGGGAAACTAAAATGGCTGAAGAAACATTTATGCTGGCAGGAAAGATTAACAAATCTTTTGTACAGTAATCAGTCTTGCAATAATTAAGAAAGTCGTTATTTCACTTTCACTATGAACAGGAAGCTGCCAGAATTCAGTCATGAGTGAGTGATACCAAATATTCAAGATAAATTAACATCAGGCAACTCTCTGGAAGACTGTAAAGGTCAATTAGTTTAATGACATAAGGCATGTTGTGGTTTAACCCCAGCCAGCAACCAAGCACCACACAGTCACTCGCTCCCCCCATGGTGAGATGGTTTCTTGTGCACCTGGCAGAGCATGGGAAGCTGAAAAGTCCTAGACTAGCATAAGTAGTACTCAGCAACAACTAAACCATGAGTGTGTTATCAGCATTATTCTCATATGAAATCCAAAACACAGCACTATGCCAGCTACTAGGAACAAAATTAACTCTGTCCCAGCTGAAACCAGGACAGGCAGAAGAATAAAAATCCACTTAGGCAACTTCCAAATTTTCAGCAAACGGCATCAGAAACAACTCCGCAATGTTTATCACTTATTATTACCTAGAAATAAGTTGACTGTTTTTTTTTTTAATGGAAAGCAATAGAATTTATTAGAAAATTTAATTTGCATTCAGGTAATACAGATCTCTCAGTAATTGTTTCCATGAGGTTTGTCTCATACTTAACATTTTAACTGGAAATAGATGTGATCTTTCAGCAACCAGGAAAGGTTCCCGATTTTAGATTATAAAAAAATACAGGGGTTGCACAGCTTCCATTTCAGAAAAATCTCTCCAACCTAATGTAGTACTTACTTTTATACACATTCTACTTGCTTTGTGTTCACATTCTTTTAAGTCAAGAAAACCTCGCAGTTTTTATAAGACCTCAGCATATAGAAAGCCATTTCTACTATGCACCACCTGTCCAGAGCTCATAATTCACAGCCAACTGACTTTAATGACAGAATTGACTGCAAGGTGAAATAAGGGCCTGGTTACTTTAATTAGATAACACATTTGTTGAACATGAGTAACTATTTGTTTATTTCTATAACTCACAGGAGAAATTGGTGTTACTGCCTACACTTTTCCTTTCCAAGACCCTACCTTCAGTTCCTCAGGTTGGCTGAAAACATGACCTCAGACACTAAAGCTGATACATTATTGGAGCTGAGTCTCCTATAAACCAACTATCTCTTTGTCTCTTCTGTTTAGTTCATGAACTGATAAAGAAGACATTATCAAACTTTCTTGCGTATCATTTTCAAGCATGGATTAAGAGTTAGCGCATTATACCCTCAACAAGCCTTTTCCTCCTTTGGCCAGGCTGTCACCAAAGTCTTTTGGCTGCCGACCCATTTCCTCTCTCCGCTTCTGCTGAAATTCTTTATCCATAGTAATAGCAGCCAAGCCTTTTCCAACAGAACCAGTGATCCTAGACACCACCCCTGCTGCACCACCTGATGGAAGAGGGCAGAAAGCAAAAGTTACTGTTCTTTCACAATTTAACAGCAGGCAACACACAAGAAGCCACAAAGTTCATAGCAATTTTGCTTCATATTCAGTTTAGATATTACAAATTTACACAGAGTGACTATCATATGTTGTCCAGGAGAATACTCCAGAGACTGGCCTGAAATCCGTAAATACATCAAAAGGTACACTTCAGTACATGTTGTATAGCATATTGGATGGAATCATAGCTTCTCCAATTACTGTAACACATAGCTAAATAAAAATCTAAGGTAACTGTAACAGTAGCTGGTCCTAAGAACACTTCTCAGGCTTCTCCAGACATTTTAGTACCATTACAGTTATTTGCCTTATTCATCCACAGCATGTTACAAATTCAGCTATACATGCAATGTTTCTCAGTTTGCTTGCTCAGTCTACAGAACAGACATTTAGATGGTCTCAAGTAAGTTAGGTATGAATGATCTGTATCACGAATACTGGCAATAGTATCCGACAAACTTAAATACTCATCAAAAAATCACCATGTAGGTATTTTAAAAATATAACTATCCCTTCAAAGTAAGAAGAAAAAAAACCCTAAATACAATCCATGAGTTAACCTAATTTATCAAAACAGTAACAATATGATACATACCCACTGTGTGTCCAAGAAGACTTTTAACACCAATTACAAAGCCTTCAGCAAATTCTTCAGGTCCCTGGACAGCACCCTAAAAATGAAGCTTATTATGAATAGTAGAAAACTATACATTTATGCATCTGTTTCAAGAAAAACTAGCAATTCCTTTACACTGATGGAAGTAAGGCCATTTGAATATGTTATTTCTTTAAGGTTAACATAAAAAATTACTGCTTTCTTAACTGTTCAGGGTGTAGAGTACAGGAAGAACAAAATGACAACCCTACCAATATATTCAATCAGCCTACTATTCACACACAGTTGAAGAATCGGGAAGTCATACCTGGAACGGCTCATAAAAAAAAGCTTCAACTCCCTCAGACAAGCCTCTGATTAAGCCAAATGGATTTCCAAGAACATCTAACCCAAGTACAAGAACATACATCTGTTTCAGGAGCTAAATAATGAGGGGGGAAAAAAAAGCAAAACCAAGAGCAGTGTTACTAGCTGTTGTTACACATAGTTCCACATTAGAAGCCAAGGTGGGTATTTTTTTTAATTTACTACTTAAGTAAGGTGTTAGAGTACTCAAACTAAGTATTCCTACTAGAATGAAGCTTAGGCAAAAGATGCAGTATATGCATGGATAACTATTAGAATACTTTGGTGAAGAAAAATATAAATAAAAAGAACATAAGCAATCACTTAAAATTCTTAAACACTTTTTCAGAACACTTTCGTACTTCCGTTTTCATAAGGTGCCACCAGATTCCTACTTCACTACCATGAAAATAAAAAATTAGTAGCTTTTAGAGGTTTTCACCTTTCCTCTCCTATTTCCTGCATTGTGTAAGATACTTAAAATGTTACACAAAGGCTTGACTAAATAAACTTACTTGTTCACTATAATGTCTAACAACTCTCTTCATCAGTTGGTCTCTCTTGTAGAACTGATATTTAATTTCAAAGAAAGCAAGTCTGAAAGACAAGTAATCACACATTAGTTATAGATACTCTTCCTCCTTTTAAGTAGTTCTCTTTTTTTTCCTTTAGATAATCCTGAAGCCCTATTCTCTTAAAAAGGAGCCCAAACCCCATCTTCCCTCCATTCATCCCTTTCCCCAAAGGCTGTATACATTTATACTAGTCAAAGTTTACCATGGACCCAATTATTAAAGGTATAGTAGCTTTATTCAAAATATTTTTAAAAAACCCCAAACTTTATTAGCTTACTTGAAAATAAGATCATCCACATCTGTTAGAGTAGCTCCAATACTTTTCAACAGCAAATTCAGAGAATGGATGGCTATCATTTCTTCCCCCTTATCTGATGCTTCTCCACCAGAAGCCAGAGACAGACTCAAATGCAACTGTTAAGAAAGAATTAGTAAAATGAGACAAATCAAGACAAAAAAAGACACACATCAGACGGGTTGTGTTGTGCACATGTAAACAAACCAGAAGTGAAACAGTGCTAAGTGTATTTTTACTCATTTCAAGGAAATGTACAATTTCAACAAACATTCTTGAACTCAAACAGTATTACTTTGATAACATATGTATTTATTTGTATTTCCATACAGCAAAGTGTCAAATTGCCCTAGAATTTTAACTTCTGTTATGTTTACATCTGTAAACTTCTGTGTAAACAATGAGAGAAATAACTTGTTAAATAGGTGAGGCTTAATTCCCAGTACAAGTTAAATTTTAAACTCTGATAGCTAGCTTGTGTGTATTTTTGCAACTAGTCACTCTTCTGGTGAAATGCATGAGCTTTACAGACCTGTCTTTAACACTGTAGAATGGGATTGTTTAGTGTCGATATGACACTTTTTAAAGGAAATCCACACACTTTTCTTAACGATGGAAAGGACAACAGAAAATTATTTTCCTTTTCCCTTGTTCATCACCAATATCAATATTGCTCCCTTCTACTCCCTTAAAAGAGGGCGTAGCAGTTAACCTGTATGATTTGACTTTTTCAAGATTACCCATTTTCATTTTTTTCAAAAGGCCAGACCGCCATTTTAAATGTCTTCCCACTACCCAGTGGTTTAAAATGTTAGGATGGGTCAATGAAGTAAGGGGAAAAAACAGGAGAGAAAAACAAGCCTCTTCCTGTACTTAACAGGCAGCATGCCTAGATATTTCGAATAAAGATGCAAAAGAGACTTAAAATTTTAGCTGTTTCTTCAACAACTTTAACCAGACTAGCTACAGAATAATGTTAAAATATCACAATAGTGTCCTGTTCCTCTAGTGTTCTTGCTAGCTTCACATTCTTGTAAGTTTACAATCATATTAAAAAAAAAAAAAAAATCCAAGAATCTTGGTGTACCCTAACAGATATCTAGTGAAATAAGTAAAAAGTTGAAAGAAGTGCCAGAATTTAATCATCTGTATTGGGCTTTATGTCTGTCTTTTATACATTCAGTCAAAAGAAAAAGAAAGTAATTTTTTTTCCTCTAAATTCTTATTCAACCTAATAGCTTTAGGGGAGCATTCTGTAGATTCAGAATAATGTATAATTATTGATGATCTTTTTTCCCTTGCTCTGAAAAATCTAACTGGTTCAAGCGAGACATGAAGACAAGCCCATGAAAGTGTATTTTATTACAACTTATCATACATTACTTGGATACCCTTCAGGCCAGCATTTTATCTAGCTTTCCTCATTATTATACTCATCGACTCTTCCCACGTAGCAATGGTTAAGGATCTGTTTGTATTCATGGGCAACTAAGAAAGTTTTCCAACAAACTATTAAGTTCTAGAGAACATAAAAAAATCCCCATTAGGAAAACAGCATGAAGACCTCAATTACCCAGAAGGTTGATCTGAGGATGTATTTACTCTAAGGAATTAAGAAATCATTGATACCAAGTGTTTTATTAACCAAAAGTATCTCTATTACATACCTTAATTGGAGAAATATGGAAATGCTCAAAGAAGCTGAGCATCGACAGGTCTGTTAGGGAAGACTCCATTAGCTCAGTGTTAAGTGCATCTACATCTTGCTGAATTAGTTTAGACTGGTTTTATTAAAAAAATAAAAAGAAAAAATAGAACAGAAGTTTATCTCATCAACATATAAAACAGCATAATTATATCTATGTAATATAATTAATCTTATATTTATATGGGTTTTTTTACATCTGTTTATAGAAACAGCAAAAATAATAATCATAGCCAAATGTAATAAAACAGTTAACTAACTAGTTAAATAGCCAACACCTCCAACACTGGAAATAGATTAATTACTTGTATACCAGATTATAACTGTACTAATACTTTTCTTTCATCCAGGATAAAAACCAAAGTAAAAAAAAAGGAAACAAAAACCAAAACAAAGCCACAATTTCTGGGTGACTTTTCCAATTTATGCTATATCACTTGATACTCCCTTAAATTCCTCAATCACTTAAGGTATCACTTCTAAATTAATTTAGAAATATTAGTAAAATAACTAACTTCCTGAGGTTCTTTGCAGTTTTGTATTTCCTCACAGAATTACAGTTTTTGTACAGTACATATGAAGATATTTCTAAAAAAAAAAACTTGTAAGAATGACTCTCCTATGCACACTAGAACCAAATGTGAACTTTCTGAATACTATCCACCTATATAAGACTTAATTTAGAGCCATGAAAATCTGTTCCGTCTGCTCTCTAAAGACAAAAGACACTGTCAACTAATAATTAGAAGCCCACTTTATAAACCCTAACCTTATTTCATCTATCACCCTGAACGTAGCCACAGATGAAACAACTCTGTCATCAATTAATGAAACATTAAAAGAGCAGAAAAGTTACACATACCCAAGCATCAGTTACTCAAACTTGTCAATTAGTAATACTCACAGACAATGTTTAACAGAAATCCCACTGCTTCACTGAAAATTATCTTACCGTCTCCCTTTATTCACCGTTGTCAAATGCAATATTCACTCACTTAAACTGAAACATTCAGAAAAAATCACAACACCATTACCACAAAGGTCTGGTTCTGGTAAAAATCAAGTTTCTCTTATATGTTACCCTTTGTCTTTCAGCTTCTGGGTCTGTAGATGGAGTGAAAAGTTCACTAAGTGCTCCTAAAAATCCTTGATCGATTTTCAGTGCCATTTCCTGGATAAGAACCATGAAGTATCTAAAATGGGAAAAAATAAATAGCGTATACTTGTAGAAGTTTAACTTAAATATCACATGCTTACCCTGCGTAACTGAAGTTTTGTTATGCAATGTTGCATATTAAGACTTATAAACTGCAATATCAACTATTTACAGTTAGAAGGGCTTAGCAGCCTCACAAAGCTATACATTACATTACTGTAGGTTATTTGTATCTTAACACTTTCAAAGTTTACCTAAAAATATTAACCACCACCAAATACTTCTTATATTCATACATTATGATTCCGTGTGCTGCATGGATAACATCACCGAAGCAATGTATTTCTTCCTCTTATCCAACTGCCTCTCTCCAAAAGTCATATCACTGAATACTTATTTTATTAAAATACACCATCCTCAAATATTATATCCACACTAGTTGGGTACAGATACTTGCGTTAGAAACCACCAGTATAATGTTTTTGTCTCATTTTTAGTACAAAAACTCAAGACACAGACATAATAACTAAAGAACATGCATTTTGCAATAGAACACAACGTATTGGGCTATGTTAGAGACTGTATGAGCTGCCTGTTGTTAGAGCACCAAATAAACGCAGCACTGTACAGCAAACAGGCAGACATGCAACTCAGATATTTTAGTACAAGAGGGAAATAATTCTGATTACTACAGAATTTGCGTAACAGTCCCTTCACGTGTTCAGTCCTTACTTTCTAAAAGTAAGTTTCTTTCAGGGTGATGTTTTTTCACTGGAGACATTTAAAAACTCAACCCAAAGTCAAGAGTTGTTCGGATAGGAGAATGTGAACTTTAAAACCAGGTTCACTTCTAAAATGTGCTGAATCTTTAAAATTGTATTACAACATACTGTTAAACTCACTTGAATTGCAGTACTTTGCTGTATTCGTTGAATCTAGTGATGACACTGATGTCAATGAAGGGTTTTGGTTCTAAATAGAAAAAAAAAGAACCCTAAGGATATGTAAAAAATAAATTGCCAAGTTGCTACTTTCAAGGCTGAATAAATCTGGTATTACTGAAGGCTTTCTCTTACCTGAATCCAAAGCAATCGACTTGGGAGGGGCTACAGGGTGAAATACAACAGGAAACATTGATCCTGGTAATTGATTATCAACCTAAAAAAAAAATTGCATAATTACAGGAATATTTTAATGTCAGTGATAATCAAAGACCATTTGCATTTTAGAAGGCTTGAGAAACTTGTTTATAGATTGTGTTCAAGAAGAACGTCATTCTTGTTTTGGGGGAAGGAGAAAAGAGGAAGAGGATTACTATATTACTTTGGATTGTTACCTATTTAGTTATAAAAGGTCAGATGGTTGGAAGTGTTGCTCAAGGGATACTTACACAGGTTCACACTCACAAAGATGCATTTAGAGGGTCTACAGCTGATGGCATACATTGACTGTAATAGTGAAAACTACTACAGGCAAAAATAAAAACAAAATGAGAAAGATAAAAGGAAAGAAGAAACTCTTCCCCACTAGCTGGTCAGGAAAAGCATCAACAGGGTCCTCAGTGAGTGCCCTCCCCTAGGGGACTCTGAAGAACAGCAAATGGAGATGAAGATAACAATGACGTGTCTCACCTTTATCTTCCTCTAGTACTAAACACATCTCACTAGTACCTGCTCAAGCACTCCATTGGTTGATTTAGCAATACTATTAGTACTGACTGGAATATGCTAATCAGGTGCCAGTGTTGCACACTAATTCACCGTTAAGCTTACATGCAGATATATTATTTCATACTGTTTTTGAGTACTTAAATGTTTATCACCTACTTTCCATTAGACAGGTAGTTTTTGTACTGAAGATCTCTGAACCTCTATATACACTCTCTAGAATAATGTTACAGGACTATATACAAACTATGGTAAACAAATTTTGAAAAAGGTTGAAGTTTTTGTTTGTTTTAAAACACCAAAGCACCTCTCTTTAGAAATAAACTTTCTATCATGGCACCCTGCTTAACGTTAACCCGCAGTTTTGTGGAATTTTTTCCATGCTACTTGCAAAATCCTGGGATGACAGTTCTGCAGTACTTTTCCATCAATGGAGCATTCATAACTCTTCTGCTACTCTGACGTACTGAGCAGAGCACCACATACCTAAGATTTGGAGATACTTTTTCATATAAATGAATAAAATAAAAGCCTTAAAGTGTCTGTTTAGTTTATAGAACATGATGAAAGATGGTACCTGCAGCCAGTACAATTGAGCCCGTAAGCTTCTTTGGTGAGGTGACTGTTTGAATTCAACCTGAATCCCTGACAGGAAGTTGCGTCGGATGATGCATCTGACTGGGAGACGCATTTCCATTGGAACCTTACTAAAATTCACCTGGAAATATAAGAAAGCAGAGCTAATATACATTTTAATTAGACAAAAATAAAACATTACGTTACTAGTAAGCAGACGAGGAGAAAAAACATGCGTTTTTCCTTATTTCATGATCACATGGCTACTGAATTACTCAGTCCAATTATCTGCATGGGAAGTAACAAAACCCACAAATTAGCCTGCACATTACATTGCAACTTTAGTTGCTACAAGAAGGAACCTCTGTGCAGTAACTATTTCTTCATGAGTTATATATTACACTGCCATAATTAAAGATATTTACATGCAGCTAACTACTTTCGCAGATGATGCTTTTACCCTGATCCCGAAATATTTAAGTTATGAGAAGCAAAAGGGAAAAGCTCTCCTTTATTCTGAGTCAAATGTAACGAATTACAGATAGAAGGTTTTGATACCACGTACTTCAAATGCACTACTGCAACGTACAAAACCTAAGTATTCATACAGCTGATGGTATACATGGTTTTCAAATGAAAGGATGATGTAGAAAACAAGCCTGGTTATGGTACTATAAAATGCCTGCCATTTTACTTAGCCATTTCAACACATTAAATTTATGCATGGAATACAGGTGTGTAGAATGTCTGAAAAAGCTCAGGTAAGTGAATTAATTTCAAGAGTCTCTGAGCACTATAGGCTCCTTTATCATATCAAGTCATGGAAACTGAAGCTTACTAAGAAGCTAAAACCAAGATTTCTGCAAAGAATTTAAGTTACTTCAATGAGAATATAGGTTCATAACTAATATGCAGATACCAAGCAATCTTTTCTACCACACAACAGCAAAATTCTTTGAGATTCTTACTTCATAATACAAGTCTGGAGAATACCTCAATACTCCCTCAGTATTACCTCAAGACAAAAATATTCTACTGTATAAAATGTGA